AAAACTGGACTTTTTTTTCTTAAACGCATTGGGTTTTGTTTTATGAAGAATTCATTGTCTGAGGGAAAGAATAAGTCCGAGCATCCAGGAACAAGAGCATTGTTTCATAACAATTTAGAATGACAAAGACTCGAAGCGCAGTTGAGCAAATACGATGGAAAAAAATGTGCGCTGGAGTGCATTTGAATATAGTAGCGAAGTAAACAATTTTTTCGATTAAGACGTGATTGCTAATTGAACATTACCCAAAATTATTATGTCGAAAAAACTTTTTAAAAGAAACAAATTTAAGAAGACAAAAATGTTGTCAGGCTTTTAATACAATCAGCATGTTGATACTTGTAGTACACATTCGAAACAAGCTTAAACTGTGTGCTTCGTACCTTCTACTATAACCCTCTAGTTTTGGAGGTATATCCTGCTCCAAATCATCTCCTTTGCAGATTAAGTATGTAATTATCCCACGCCGAATTTATGACATGTTCTCACTGCAATTCTATAGAAACGGTCAGAAATTGCACCAGCGCTGACCATTCATTACTGAGTGCTACGAATATGTCTGTTGTAGCCTTTCATATCCTTCTATTCTCCTCAATCCTTTGGATTACATTTGCCTTCAACAATATTCCTATAGAAATTGAGAAATGCAAAAAAGGGCAATGGTTTGTCAGAAATTTTATTGTGTTTACATGTCTGAACACTGATGCTAGACGAGAGCTCAAGCCTTTTGGTAGGATATCGTTACCCTATTGAAAGAATGGACATAGAGTGAAAAACAATGGTTTCAGCTTGCGACCCAAATAATGGAAAGTTTGGGAAAAGTCGAAAGCGTCCAGTATTTCTGAGAGAAATCCACAAAGCTAGTGGATTTATTTATGAGTGTGCTATCGACAAACACACTGGCGCTGTGGTATGGAAAGCTATTGGTAGGTTTTTTGCCGACTATTTTAAAATGCAGCAAAAAGTGTAATGTCATATATCCGCGAAAAAAAAATTTGTTATTCATAAATCGTATTATGCTTGCAGCCTGCTACATAAATGATGAGAAGTTTGGCCCCGGAACATTTGTCAAAGGACGATACGATTCTGTTTATTTATGCTACAAGGATACTGATGGCATATTGAGAATTCGAATGAGAAAACGTATGAACAGCTCGCTTTATTATAAACCTACAGATTACAATGAAATACATGTTCTTAGCTGTCCATGATCACTGCATTGCTGCTACT